AACTGTTGGTGCTCCACGCAACGTATAACCGGCTTCTTTTTAGTTATGTACCCGGTTTACAATGGCGTACACGACTGACCCTCYCCAATTGGACAGCGATCGGATACCGTTCTGTGGAAGTCCGGTCTGATACGTCGTTGATAATCGGGTCATATAGATTCCAAAACTACGGTTGATTGTTGACTCGATCAGAACGCCAGAATAATTAACCGYGATGTTGGCCAACGTAGCCAAACCGATGTCTGACGGTAATAATATTCAGCTTCGTCTTACTTGTTACGCAGCGGTCTCCGCACCATATAGTGTTCAAAGGCTGACTGGGATCGATGGAAAGACATGGAAAACCACACCATGTTTGTTGTAAATCGGGTTGGTATTGTCACAAGTTAATAGTGAAGTAGTACAGAAATTTGAAAATATTGTCTTTTTAAGTGTACCTTAAATTTTCAAAGATCAGAACTTGAATTAATGTACTTTTAAAGGATAGCGTGTTAAATAATTTACMATGTATCATCTAATTAAATGTTGATTTTCAAATATAATATGTCAAAGACTATATTTACGTAAACGTCATAGTGGATATCACGTTGGATATATTTTAAAAGAACTATTCCTGTTAATGTGATCTATGGTATTAATCAAGAGTTTCGGGAAGAAAAGATTTTTATTGTTGTGTATTACTCATTATTTTAAGATGGAAGTACTTGTTGAGGAGATAATTTCCTGGTTTGATACAAACAATGGCAATGAAGAGATGGTGCGGTGACCAATATTTTGAACGGTTTCAAGTTTGTTCCACGTTACTTCCGATATTACTGGTCTCCATGTCTCCATTTCAACTGCCGAAGACAGAAAATGTTTGACATACACTTGCGGTATGATACTTTTCGTAATGGCTGGAACGGTTTAGGACTGGGTACAACATGCCACGGACAACGGTGCCTTTCTTGATTGTTGATCTTAATGATGTTATGTACGCGGAAAACGTCTGGTTCCTCGACATTTTCAAATAATGTTYYTGACTTTTAGCCACCCTCTCAGACGATTTATCAATGTCTGTTAACCGAGCAGAAAATTGTTCTCGATATTCCGATATAATGAGTAGGTCGTGTATCTAAGAATCTTTTATTTTATTGGCTTCTTCGTGTAATTCAATAGACTCTTTTTATTTTGACAACATTTACTTAGCTGAAGAGTGTAGCTAGCCCTATGAGAGAGACTATAAAGTGGAACAATAATTTCACTGACACATATAACTGTTGCCAGGGATTTGGCTTTTCTAGAATTATTCAAGTTTTTCAACTATATATATAATTTACTAATTTCAAATAATTTTTATTTTATTTTTTATTTTTTTTTGTTGATTATACGCCCCGGAGTGCATTTAGTTATAAAATACAGCAAGTGGATAAATTATGTACATCAATCAACAGTTTTTTTCTAAACATTTTTACCAATATTTTACACATTTATRGAATACATTTTTTTCTTTTCTTGACATTTAGGGGTTATATCTCGCATGGCTCCTGTTTTATCCGAGTCAGCCTGTATACTTAATTTCGCTAAGTAGGAGTTATATTCACACGATTTTTATTTTCAAGGATTTATAATTAATACTTTTGGATTATAAACGTGAATA